TCATACAATATAAAGAAAAAATTTGAGCCGCTTTTTGAGAAAATTTTTAAAATGTCCGGAGGGCTTCATGCAAAGTACCCCCAAATTTTAAAGAATGTTTTTTCAAAATATGAAAGCTAGGACTATAGCCAGGTGGACAAGGGTTTCTTCAATTTGGAAAAAATCCTACATATCGTTTAGGCGCTAGTAGTGTTCACAGGCGGACAGACGGACGTTTTGCCGTCAATTGATTTTTCGGTTTAAAGAACCCTCAAAACTGGGATTCTGCCTACACCACGAGTTAGTCTGTGGAGAGAACGACCTCTTCCAACCTTCGGATAAGTTGATCTAATGTGTTTAATATATATTATCTAATATGTTGATTGCTCAAAGTTCAGGAAGGTCATCTTCAACGCACTCATGCGAAAACTGCAGTATTTTGTCTGTAAAAAAACGTACGCCTAATCACACAGCATCACACATTTGGTGCTATCACTGTAGAAGGCAAGAGAGGAGAAAGTTAATACGTTACTCATTATCTATAAAATAATTTATATTCCCCGTTGCATTAATGATCCCACAACAATTGGTGAAGTGGAATTTAAGGAATTTAATTAGTGATCGGTGATAATATTCAGGATATTAGAAACATGTACAATTCTGTAGTACAGATGTATTGTACAAATATTTAATTTGGACATTTGTAAGATTTTTTGTGACCTAGAAACATTATGACTTTCTGTATCGAATGAATTCGATATATCGAATTAAATTCGCAATTAAATTAATATCCAATTACAATAGTTCTAGTGCAATAAAAATTTCTTATTCATAGGCGACTTAATTAAAAGCAGGAAAGCTTGCGAGCTATTATATAATGTCGTCTGCTAAAAGTGTTTTTAGTGAATGTTTGATGAAATGATTATTATTTACATAGGCTTTATTTTCTGTTGCTTCCAACATGCCTCGTGGCCATTGACGGTTTTCTCCCGGTGCATAATCTGGTGAGCAAGCCTTTTCGTCCTCCTCCTCCATCGCACTCTGATATTTTAGAAATATTATTGCGTAGTATTCGGTGAAGAGGGGGAGTTAGCCACCTGAGATAGGTAAAGAGAAGTTGCAGTTGCATCACTCAGTAGTGAGATCGCAAGTATCTATTCTCGAAGCGTGTAAATTTGCTAACGTGAAGAATATTGTTTGTACATGTTCGCGTGTTACTTACACTTAGCGGTGTCTGGAATTGTGTTGATTCACCAAATATTTTTGTGTGTGTGTGGGGGGTGTTAACAACTAAGTCTTAAAGACATACCATTTCTCCGATCTTCAAAAAGGCGTACGAGTAGTATTTTAAAACAATGGTAGATGAGGGTACGTTTTGAGCCCCAAAGAACTGTTACTCACACTGCTCCCGCTATTTAAGAACCCACACGTTCACCCATTGCAGAGAACCTACCCATCTATGCCATTTCCGTGCCACAGTTGCGGAGAGAACCTACCCATCTATGCCATTTTCCGTGCCACAGTTGCGGAAAGAAACTCCAGACTAACATTTACAGATTGCGACTTTTATTTAACGAAAGTAATACGAATCCCACGTTAACAAAAAAAAAACGTTGCTTATCCAAATTAGAGGTAAGACCACGACAAGATGGTCGAAACGTCGGCAACACAGCCTTCGACGCGGCATCACCCGGACAGCCCAGATCATGCACAAGGACTGTGCTGATACCACCACTCCTCCTGAAATTAGACTTTATGATGAATTTCGTGAAAGCAATGGACGAAGTTGGTCAGATTTGTGAATTTCTATTATTTAAATTTCTTGCGATTAATACTGAAAAAATTAAAGAACGAATTTTCATTGGGCCTCAGATCCATGATTTGGTTAAAAATATTACTTTTAAACAGTTCCTGACCGACCAGCTTGACTTGCATTGAGAGATGTATTTCTTGGGAAACGTAATGTCTGAAGTACAGGAGCACATGCTGGACTGTTACAAGGCTATGAGGTGTAGCATGTTTCTGAAGTTACATTTATCCTATCCCCATTTGGATTTCTGACCATCCAATCTTTGAGTGTGAGTGATGAAGATGGGGAGCGATTTGTCGCTCCCATGGAATGCCGATATAAGGGAAGATGGTCAACAAACCTTTTGGCGGATTACTAATGGACACTCCTGCAAGAAGTTTCACCATCCACCCTCAAATAAAATGTTTCCAGAAAAAGTTTTTAACTTCTAAGTGCATTCAAACTTTATTCAATTATCTCACGCTGTTTTCATTTTATGTTTATTAATACAAACTATTTATTATACAAGCATTTTTTTGTCACATTACCAGTATATTAATCAACTATAGATTCTTCCTGCATTGTTACTGAGTCGTTTCCGATTTTCTTGAAAGTGGTATGAGGCAAATCTTTTCCATAACAATTGGTATGTGATGGAACATTTCTGATTTCATTCTCGCAATCAGGGTATGTAATTTAGTAAACAACACATACTTTCATCTCGCGGCAAGACGGAAAGTTCAAATTTGTTGCACTGTGTTACTGTTGGTTACGAACCACGGAGCGTTACATAAATATCTCAATATTTTTGTTTCGAATCTTCTCAGGATATTCGTTTTACTTACTGGCTGCATCCTATAGTTCTATGCCGTAAGTTTATGTTGGCTTGATTATTGCTTTGTACAGTAATATTTAGTTATAAAAAGAGAGCTTCGATCTTCGATTAAGTCATAATAATTTGCTTACTTTTAATTATGATTCTTACCTAATTTTTGTGATATGGGGTTTTCAGGTTAAGGAGCTATCTAGGAGTAAACCAAGACACCTCTCAACAGTTGTTACTACGAATTCTGACGAGTTTAGTTTCACTTTTGGACAACATTCCTTTCGAAGTGGGAAAGTAATATATTGTGATTTTGCTGTGTTTATAGTTACTCTCCATTGATTCGTCCACTCTTCTATCTGTCCAGGTGCGTTTGCAGGTGTTGTGGTGCCCAAGTTCAGTCATCATCATTACTAATTGCAAGAAAGAAAGTATTGTTTTAGCGCCACAAGTTTTACTTTCTCGCAACCGCTACCGCGGTAGAGAGAACGTTATGTATGCTGCGCGAAACAACGGCGAATTTTCGCCAAAAAAAAATATTAAAAATGGATAAATCCAGAAGCTAAAGTTACAAAAAAATCCTCCAACACGTGGAGTAGCCAGAATCTATGTTTTGTGAGTCCTTGATACCGAAAAATAGATTGACGACCAAACGTCTCTCCGTCTGCATGTGAAAGCTACCGGCTAAACCGTTCAGCGGATTCCAACATTGATATTCCCCAATCTATCTGGCTGATGTCGTGGCCTCTTTAATTGAAATCGGTGTTTTAATTTTGATGGTACTTTTTACATGAAACCCCTGGGACATTTTCAAAATTTTCAAAAAATTTGCTCCATTGTTTTTGATTAATTTTTGTTGTTATATTGTGTAATGTACGTTTATGAGAATAATGCAGGTCTCATTTTCATTGAAAACTCTTGATTTTTTGAAAAAAGGAAAAATCTTTAAAAAATCGGCGTCTTCCTATAGCTAAAATATTAAATATAGGCGTTTTTTCTTAATAAAATATGATTTTTAAAAATAGTGTTTTTCACGTAGATTTGCGAGAAATATAGGCATTTTTTAAATTTTTTAAACATTTTTTCTTTCATGAAGATACATTTTCTTTCTTGAAGAAATGTATTCATCAAAAACAGATCTTCAAATAAGGTGATGTTCGGTTTTTAAAAATTGTGAGTATTTTTTGTGTAAATTGGAAAAGAAATTGAATTGGTAAATTTGAATTTCCAGCGCTTCCTTTGAGGCGGTGTCAGTCTGTAAAAGTAATTTGAGAGGCAGAGGCAGTTGGATATTCTGAAACTCCCTTCTCCTGGTTTAATATTAATTAAAGTAGTATTACAAATCACAGAACATTAGGTGCGAAAATGTTGTACTATTTATATTATTTGCAATGTAAATGCATATTACGCAAGTGCTACAAAGATTGCGTGAAAGTACATTTCGAACCCACGGCCTTCACCTCAGCGTACTTGCACTCAGCTCCAACCCACTGTCGCAGAGGGAGGCTTTAAATGTATTGCGTAATATGTATGAACATGTGTGAAGCCATGTGTTACATGGTGGAAACACCCATGCCATACAGAGATTTCTCGCAACCATTTGCTCGAAGAGCAAAGTAATATCCAGGTGGTTAATTTGGAATATTTATTAATTTGATTCTCTCATTCAGGTACTAGAGATTATTCTAATTTCTAAGATTTGTCTTAATGGACACGCGCGCGGTGTTGCCGACTTTTATTATTATTTTAATTATAATTTACTTCATTTATAATTACCGTTTTAACAATAATTTACTATTCAAAATAATTTATTTAATGTCTGATAATTTGAAGTTCACTTTTCAGCTATTTGACCACTCTACTTATGAAGTTGCAATCTAACAATAAGAACGTCGCAATACGGCTTGAAGTTCACATAATAATCCCTCATTCTCAGGCGGAATTTCTAGGAGAGTGTTTCTTGTGACAGAAGGTGGTATTGACAACCAGGACAAAGTGGATATAAATTGTAGTTTTAGATTTTGAATTTCTGATGTTTATATAAGGAAAGGTTAAAAGAGCTCGGAGGATGCCATTCGAATCTTCAAAACAAATATTACTTTTATTATTATGAAATCATTAACTGATATCAGAAGGCTATAATGACGGCAGCCTTTGGTTCGCATTAATATAAACTAATAATTGTATTGATGTTTAAAATACGCTAAAAAATACGTATGTTTCTCGCTTCGTTTCTTTAAGACTTTCTCAAATGGTAGTTGAAGTGTCAGTCAGAAAATTTCGTATTACAATATTGCATAACCACTTCCCGAGAATTCAAACCTTATTTCAGCTTACATAACATTCCACCCTTTTTTTAGAATTACCTATATGGCTTTGGCACATTGTCCTACGGGGTTGCGCTTTTAGGCGTCGCAATTGTTGCCGCCTACTTTCACTTCACGCGTAACTTTGGCCACTGGAAGAGAAAAGGCATCAAGGAGCTCAGACCCCTTCCCTTCGTGGGAAACCTCAAAGATGTCGCCTTCATAAAGAAGAACATCGGCATGGTGGCTTCTGCAATCTACGAGCAGCACAAGAAGGAACCGTTCATTGGCATATACGCGTTCGATGAACCAGTGCTCCAAGTCCACGACTTGGACCTCGTGAAAGCCGTGCTGGTCAAGGACTTTCAGTACTTTCCCGATAGAAGTTGAAGCTGACGAAGAACTGGACCCGCTTCCTGCCATTTATACATAAATATAAAGGAAAATTTCACAATTAATTTCCATTTCTTAAACCAGTCGGAAAGTTTTAAAAAATTGAAGTTTTACCTATAGGAGATGCAGTTTTAAAAATATATACCGAAAATACATATGAATCAGCATGAACACGGGGGCATTTTATTTTTATTTTTGGAAAGTTGTTCTTTAAGTCAAGGCAAATTGTGCTATTAATAAAGGAAATATATAATTACAGTGTTAAGAGAGTGTAGGCCAGGAATTGCAATATCGAGATACTGCGGAGAGAGAGATTGTGTCACTAACATGTTCCGTTTCTGCTCAGTTCTACAATTTTGATTTTGAATGTTTGCAATGCGTATCGCGTTATATATGCTATGGTATGGCACACGGGACAAACCGTGAGAGCCAATTACAGGGTCACTATTTAGAGTATATGCGATAAAACAAATAACAATCCAAATTTGAAGTATTCTGACAGGTCGCAAATTCTATGCTTGCCTTGGGCGCCTGAATATCTAGTTGCGCCTCTACATGCAGGGTATACCATACCATGCATGCAATATCACTTTTTTTAATTTTAATTTTTAAAGAATAATTTTAACTTAGATTTGGTAAACCTCAAGTGGATGTTTGCTCAAAATGTGAAGAGCTTGGAACAAAATTGAGAGCACAATTTTGTGTGACCGCGCTAAACCTGCAGCAAAGGCTAAACTTCGTATCCAGAAAAAAAGAGCTGATAAATTTTATAAATTAGTGCAAAAAGATATACGTTTCAGAGAGTGCGCAAAGCACGTGGCGACGCGGCGTTGCCATTTCTCCGCAGTTGCACGACGGGCCAAAGCGATCAGATTAGGCAGAGATGCCGTGCAGCTGAAATACACTTTTTTTTTCTTATCCGTTCTAGCGACGTGGTCTTGGAAGTGACAGGATTCGGCCCGTTCGACAGTTGGGCCACGAGCATCGCCAACAAGTTCATGGTCTTCTACGAGCAAGTGATTGTCGAGGAACTAGAGTCGGCGCTTCGCAAAGAGTCCGAAGAGGCCGTCAGCAGCGTGAATCCCGTGAGGCTCGTCGGCTGGGGAATCCTGAGCCCTCCCGACGTACAATGGGAGTAGTGCACCACTCGCAGGCTCCTTTTCTAGGCACATCCCACCGCTACTCCGTACGTCCCTGGTCACTGTTGTATTTTTATACTAAAACTTTATACTGACACCCATCTGCTCAATCTTGAATAAAAGTTTACTTAAAGAAAAGAATTGCAAATTTGAATCTCCGCAGTAAACACAATTAAGACATAAAATATTGAATTAACAATTTGTACGTGTTCACCGTTGAAATTAGGTTCCCTAATGGTTGAGCAATTTATTTATTTGCAGGAAGAAAAAGTAAAATACATTAAAACATGTTAACATCCGTGAAATACGGTTGTATTGGTCAATTGACAAATCTTCTGGATTAAAATTCCCCAGATAGTACTTATTGTTAATAACGTAAACGTTTAATCCAAAAACAGGTGGGGGGGGGGGCACTCAAGCCGGGAACGCCGCGAGAAGGTCCGGGCACGGGGCCAGGAGGAGGAGGAATGCGTGATACTCCGCTCCTGCTCCCACACGCGTGCCTCCGCCGTGACCTCGTGCGCGCACGCAGCCTTCTGGCCAAGGGCCGCGCGCTGGGCTTCTGGGCTGGGGAACTTCTTGTAGGCGGAGTGCACGCTCCACGTATCGCATTCGAATCGTGGACCCCCGGCCCCTCTCCGTCGTCCTTTGGGCGAAGGTGAAAGGATTCGTCGCTTCGCCGTGTCGGGGAGCGGGAGGCGCTCGCGAACCCTCGCCCTCGCCGCCTCAACGCACGCAGCCAGCATCTGCCTCTCGTATTTGCACTTACGTAGGGGACAAAACAGGACCCGGGTGGGGTTATGTATCAACATGAGTACACTCGTATTGATAATATAAATTAATTTCGTCCATACATAAACTTGATACAAGAGCCTAAATGGAGTTAACACCACTTCTGTGTGGGGGAAACTATGACGTAATGCACTCTCGACCAATTGGACGCGATAAATATGCTGCCCGGCATTTTTGAATGAACAATCCTTCTGGTTAGTTGATTCAAACAAGACCTTCGGAACTCAATATGAACAGGCAAAAATATGAGAAAATATTAAATATAGAGAACACCATTGTATTTAATTTTTTTTTCTTTGTCAACAACGTCAACATTGTCAATTGCATCAGTGGCGCGATGTTTCAAACTCCCAATGTCGTCATGTTTTGGGAAAAGACAAGAACATATTCAATCTCAGATTCAAAATAAATTCCTGGATTATTTTTCAAGTTATATAATTTGGTTACTCGTCATTCACGATGAACATCAATATTTTCATTTTCATCCAGTAACCTGATGAGTTCAACATCGTCAAAAATCAGCACACGGTGGTGGTGAAGAGGTGGGATAAAGGTGGGCTGAAGTACAAATTGTCTTCCATACCTTTTTTTCTCATTTGTAACGAGCCGCAATCCTCTGTACAGTGTTCTGGTATGTTACTGAGAAAATTACCGGCACTTTTTATATCTTGATATAGAGAAAACTTTCGAAATGAAATGCACTCAGATAGTCTCTCTAAAAAGAACTGTTCATGATCCACTATTTTGGTACCATTGAATATTCACGGTTCGACTAAAACAAACAGTTGCAGACAAATTGCAACTCCCCACTACACTATTTCGCCTATAAATGAACGGAAGGCTCTGCTGAAAGCATAAACTGTGTTTTTCTTTACATTGTTAAGTAACGTACATCTACACCTTTGTGTGTCAATAGAATGCCACATACAGGGCGCGATTACGATGCTAATTAGAAAAATTCGATTTATACTTCTTGGAGGGTCAAAGGTCTCCTAGTAAAGCAACTAGCGAAAATTATAAAAAATACCTTAATAGTACTTATTATCAACATACGAGGGGCTCAGAACACAATAAAGTGACAGTGACATGATCGATAAAATGCTTCTGAGAGTTAAAATTATAATAGAAAGAGTAAAAAAGACAAAGTGTACTTTAAAGTACACTACAGAATAGTAATTAATATTCAAAGCACGTGCAAAATCAGAATCCTTACTTAAACTTCTTTTAAAATTGCTTATCTATTTTATCATAAAAAATTGCAGAGCCAAAATCAAGTAAGTGCATTCATCTTCAATTTACTGAGAAAACAATTAGGTGAAATCAAAATGATTTATTATATTATATAAGGCCTAATCAAACAGCAAATGTTTTTTTCTGATAAAAATTTATAATAAATAGAAATAAATTTAAGCATGTCGCTCATTGTAATTACTAGAAAAATGTTAATGAAAAGGGCCTTTAAGGGTCAGGGTTAATCAACACCAATATAAAGTCTTGTTTGGGTTATGCATTTGGCCATGAGAAGTATTGTTTTAATATGATCAACAGGTGAAATATGCTCTTTCAGTTTCTGCACCGTTTCGCTATTTTGATTTTCACTACACTGAAATACAGCCTTTAAAGGTTTACAGTAGATAGTCTACCTTGAGGTATTTTATCATCAAAAAATTATATTCATCTATATGTCACGATAATTAACTCAGATTTCGACAAAACGTTACTGACCTGCTTTCTTCTTCTTCTTCTTCTTCTTCTTCTTCTTCTTATTATTATTATTATTATTATTATTATTATTATTATTATTATTCGCTCTTAAAGGAGTTTTCTTCCAATCGCGCACACAAATCTTGTATCGAATACCACTGTTACGAGCTTCCCCTATTCTTGCTCCTGAGATTCACCCCGTTTCCGAGACTAGCTTTGGGAGCGACCTGAAAGGAATACAAATCGTGAACAATATTTCGTATTTTCTACGATTTACATTACTGTACTTTCGTAGAATATAGCGACCACATCGTATTAAAGTCATATTAATGTAACTTCAAATTAACTGCTCCCCATAGCACGGCACACACAATTTTTACCTGTTTTTGACGTAAATAAATAAATTTAAAAAAAGTCGATGTGTACTACCCTGCGTGTTTGAAGGTTTACCCTTCACACACATGTAGGTTGCTAGCCACGGAACCACAAAATCTGAGCGGTATATTCCTAGTAAATTATAATTTCAGCAATGAAAGCATTGCGAAATAAAGACAGAGAGGCAAAATATCTAAAATTCTTCTACAAACTTACATGTCCTGCACAATCTATAGTGTCGTTGTTTTGTCAAGGTACAAAATGGTTTTCTCTCTCCTTCCTTATATTTAACGTGCAAAAAAATAAGAACAATTTTCCAAGGAGGTAAAAAAAACATTAAGGGCATGCCACTGAACACTGTTTATGAATATAAGAACTGTATAGACCAATTGTCGTATTCATGTGCATGTGTGTTAAAAGGGCTCACTTTCGTCAACTATTCTTTACTCACAAATAATATTTCCTAATAAAATCGACGTTAAATTAGTCGCAACACGGTGTTGATGCTCATGTATTAGCATGCTGGGCAATTCAAATGTGGGACGATATTTCCAATTTATTTTACTAAAGTAAATAAATCATTTCACTGCTTAAATGAGTGCATCACTTCTATTTATACGGATGAAATTAGTGCATAAACGTTATCATGCTAGGAAAGGAATTATACCAAAATACACTGAAATATTACGCGATTTCGGGGTATAAATTTGAGAGTTCGATAACACAGACTAATATTGGTCAATCACCTTGAATCTCATATCCCAGTTTTTTATATTTGTAATAAAATAAATTATCTACGGAATTTAAACCTTGGAAAACTAATGACCACACTAGGGTCACAAAACAGTTTCGAAATACTTTCATGTCCAGAACACACGCTTTAGGATGTTCTCTTCGATATAATGACTCAGTCTGTTTGCTTAAGAAATGGGTTCATAATAATCCTGGCACCGTTTTCATACAATGTCGCAATATAAATTCGTCTCC